TCCAGGCCATTTTTCTGACTTTCTTTTTTTTTACTACTATGAATAGCACAGCGTTATCCACCCAGGTGGCTTAATCTTTGACAACCTGATGGCTAATTCGCTTAGGGTCACTCCTAAAAGTGGGACATCTTAGTCTCGAGGTGCACACTCTAAAGCTTCTGGCATCCCTGCAAGTGTCTGCCCCAGTTGCTAAAGAGTGTGAAGGGTCACAGCCCCGGGACACCCCTCAGGACAGGTGCTCCGTCCACACTCCAGCAGTCCCAGGTATGGGAGTTTATTGCATAAATATTGTTACACATGTCCCAGTGGCATCTGCGTAAAACAGTCTTGGAAGCCCAATTCGTCAAAGATCAGAGATAACCCACCTGTCCACAATGGGAAACTGGTGCATTAAATTATAGCACATCTACGTGAGGAGAGACTGCTCAGCCAGAGAAAAGAAAAGAAACTCAAAGCCTTCAGGTGTTCCCGAGGCTGGCTCCCGCCGGGACACAGAACGAGCACAGGATGGTGTCAATGACATGCAATTTCTAAACAGAAAAAAAAAGAAGCAAATCATAGTCCCTGTTCATATTCGCACACATAAACGTAAACAAATTCAACAAGAAACTAAAACAGCACCCACCTGCCTACCTGGTGAGTGCCAGGGAACTAGGATGAAACAGGATGAACTGGGATGGGGGAGCAATTTTTTTTCACTAATCACTTCTTTTGTTTTCAGATTTTGAAGCCATCCTGTAGTCCTCTAGGGGAAATCTGTCTTAAAAAATTGCCCTTCACTGTTGTTAAAATGTTCGGGTGTGACCATGTATACAGGTTTTAGAATAGTTATCCTACGGAGACCTACATGGAATTCTTTACAGATGAAATGATGTGAGGTCCAGATTTGCCTCGAAAGAATACGTGAGCAGGGGACGTGGACGGGGAGCTAGAGAGACAGACCAAGGTGCTGCGGCTGTGACACGTGGACCTGTTCTTGCTGGAACACCTGCTTTCGGGGGGAAAGACCTGGGAGTGAACTGCAGACTTATAGGCTGGATCCAGGTATAATTGTTTGAGGGCCAGCAGACTGTTTACCCACAGCAGCTGAACCTTGTCACATTCCCACTAGCCATGTACAAAGGTTCCAGAAGATTCCAATTTCTCTACCTCCTCGACAACACTTGTTATTTTCCGTTTTGCTGTTTCTTTATAACTATCTTAGTGGGCGTGAAGTGCTAGCTCATTGTGGTTTTGATTTGCATTTCCCTGATGAGTAATGATGCCGAGCTCGTTCATGTGCTTCTTGGACACTTGTGTGTCTTCTTTTGGGGAAATGTCTCTGCAGGCATCCTGCCCCTTTTTTAACGGGGTTGTTTCTCTTCGTTGCTTCTCTCTCTCCTCTTGTATATGTTTAAAACTCTCCAAAGCAAAGCAACACACACACATATTTAAAATTTTAAGAAACACACCTTTTTCCCTGAAAAGAGAATGGTTTTCTCTTTTCCCCTATTTGACTCCCCCAGAGACCACCCCCTGCAAAATTTCCACCCTATATCCAAATTCCATAACTCAGGCTCCAGAAAAACCGTATTTGCTCTTTGAACAAACAATAAACACAAGTCGCTTTCGCCATCTCCAAGGTGGGTGGGGGGTAGCAGAGGCTGGCTGTCCCCCTCACTCTGGCCCAGGTCTGAGTCAGGCCTACAGAGCAGCCTGGGACTCTCCCTGAGGTCCCACCTCCTGGTCTTCCCTAAGAGTCCCCGGGGAAGGGAGGGCCCCATCCGTAGCGGAAGGAACCTTCTGGGCCCCAGGCCAGCCCCATCACAAGACTGGACAGCCCCGCAGAGACACAGGCAAGTCAGCGGCGTCCACAGCCAGTGGGCGAGGCTGTGCCGGCCCGGCTCATGTTCTGCTACGTGGAGGAGCCAAACAGATGGCTCGGGATAAACAGGGAGGTGGCGCGATGGGGGCGGGGGTGGGGTGGCTTTGCATGGCCTCGCCTCCCCCTGGATCCTGAGAAAGAGGCAGGAGGGGATCTGTGCTTTCCCCACGTCTTGGTGAAAAGGCACTGGAACCTCATTCCAACAAACTCCACGACATACAAGACAGAGAGAAAACCAGCCAGGCCAGAGGAAGGCCCCTCCGCCTCCAGGCCACGTGGCCCGGGGGGACTCAGAGCCTGGGAGGACACTCCGATCCCTGAGCACGTGCTCTGTGCCTGAAACCACTTGGGAACTCAACACTGTCTGCAGCGTTGAGCCCGGCAGTGGGATCCCCGAAAGACCTGCGATCTCACCCCATCCGCAAAGCCCCCCCCCCCCCAACAGAGGGTCCTGGGGAGGGCCCAGGCCGGGGAAGCGGCAGGAGGAGCCAGGCTGCTGAACCCACCGACCTTTCCTTCCAGAACAGAGCTCAGGCTCAGGCCTAGCTCCTCCCTCCAGCAGCTGTCTGGCCAGGGGTCACCCCTCACCTCACCTCCGCGAGCCTAGGGGAGACACGAGAAAGGGAGCAGCCCCTACCTGAGCCCAGAGCACCGAGCTAGGAAGCCCTGGAAGCCGAATTCTGGTCTCCCGCCCGAGGCCCCCCTCTTCTTTCACTGGATGGACGACTCACCCACTTGGGTCTGCGGGAGGCCACCCTGCGAAATTTATCAGAAGCGAGTCCAGAACCAGGCAAACCCCTTCCTTGGAGTTTCAGCTGTCTCCTAGGTGTCCTGGGGGCCATGGCCCCTGCCCCGCAGGTTTGTGGGGGGATTAAATGAGACCCTGCGCGTCCAGGCCCACAGTGGAGTCAGGTAGAGGCAGTTCCACACCAGAGGAGGGTCCTGCCTCTGCCCTCCCACGAGGCCTCCCCTCTCCCAGCTCCAGCTTCCTCATCTTAAATGGGCACAGAGATACTCATCCTCCGCCTTTGCCATAGGAGATAGTGGTGCTCCAGCTAACGCGGGTTCTGCTGGGCCTGGCAGAGGGAAAGCCCGCAGAGGAGGCCTTAACAGTCGCAGCGGGGCCTGCTTTCCCCTCATCGTCCCACGAGAAGCGCGGTGTGGTCCTGCGGTGAAGCGCTCAACCCGGTTGCCCACCGCCCAGACTGAAGCTCCACTTCGCCCCTGGGGCTGTGTGCCTGACCTCAGTTACTCCACCTCTCTGTGCCCGCGTATTGTTGCTCAAATAAAAAGAATCATGCTTATCCCTAGAGCATGGAGTTGCTGTGAAAATGAAGTTATTGCCTTAGAAGAGGCCCCAGCAGGTATTAAGTGCTGCCCCGAGCTTGTTGGGGTGCTGGGAGCAGCACTGTCACTGCGGGCCAGACCCCGAGCTCTCTCCTGGGTGGGACTAGACGGCACAGCCCTGCGGCTCCACCGCCCGCCACGCAGGCTTAGAGATTTCTCGGGGCGGTGTGACCTTGAGCGAGTTAACTTCCATCTCTGGGCCGGCTTACATTTCGCTGCAAAACGTGAATACTGGAATCCTAATTCCAGACTGTTGGGCTGCTGGATGAGTGATGACCTGTGGGAAGCTTCTGGCTCCTGGTTAATGAGGTCCAGGCCCAGCCCCTGCAGGCACCAGCTCCCCAGCGCACCCAGCCCTGCTCCCCGCCCGCGGGCGCGGGGGTGGGGTGCCCGCCCGGCTGCCAGGCCCTGTTCTGGGGGCCCCGCGCTCCGCTGCCCAGCTTCCCCCGGGATCAGGTTTCAGCTGACGCGGTGCCAGGCACGTCTGCTTCCAGGAACCAGCAGCCGCATTTAGCCGCGGGCCGCACATGAAAGGGCTGCAGTCGGAAACGTGACGTTGTGTCAACAGGCGCGGCGGGTCAGCCCCGGGTGAGACCATCCCGCGGGCCGGCGGGCGCCCCGTCTGGGGTGGCAGGCCCCGCCCCGCGCCCCGCGCCGCGCCCCACCCTCGCGCGCGCCCCGCCCTCACGCGCGCCCCCCGCCCAGGGGCGCCCCTCGCGGGTGGGGAGGCCGCGCCCCTCCTCCCGGTCCCTCTGCGCCACTTGGATCCCGCCCGGCCGGCGGGGAAGGTCAAGGGCGCGGAGCGGCCGGGGAGGAACAGCTGCGGGCGGGGGCCGGGGGGCCGGGCTCGGGCTCCGGGACGACGCGGCTCTGGGCCGCCCCGGGTGGAACCCGCCAGCCCTCCTCAGTTCTGGGTGCTCCGCCGACCACTTCCTTCTGCGCCCCGAGTCACAGCCCAGGGAAGAGGGCGCGTGGGGGGCGCAGGAGACTGTGGCCTTGATCTCCACTCCCGGGCCCTCCCCCAAATAAACTTGGTTTAGGTTTTTACCAAAAAAGTCTGGCCAGGAAAGCCCAGCAACGCAGGAAGGAACTCAGGGGCCGGCGGGCAGCGCTCGGAGGCCCAGCCCAGGCCCGGGCCAGCGTTTCCCACCGGCCCGGGAGGGCGGCAGGTGGGGCCCGGAGGCTTCATTCCACCTGAGCAGACGCAGGTGCGCAGGCCCTGGCCCTGGGCGTTGATCCCCGGCTCCTCGCGCGCCCAGGGGGCCCCCAGAGCTGCCAGCGCCGCTGGGGACACGTGCCCGTGGGGCCTTTCTGTGCCCGCCTGCCCGCCCAGGCCGCCCCTGAGCCCGGGGAGGCCAGGCCGCCACCCCCACTGCCCCCAGCCCTGGGAGGCCAGGCCGCACGGGCCTCCGGACAAGCAGGGCTTCTGGAAGACTCCAGCCTCCCAGCCTCGGCCTGAAACACCAGGCACCAGGCACCGGCCCTCAGAAAGGCCAGGGAGGGGCCGGGAGCCACAGAAATCTTAATTGGGACCCATTCCCACTGCTCCCATGAAATTTTTTTTTTTTTCCGAAGAGCACTTGACCAAGGAGCACCAGTCTTCGCTCCTGCACATCCACACCCAGGCAGAGGAAGTCCGGGCAGGATGTGGAGATTAATCCTGGAGCAGCTGTCAGACAGGAGGTGGCAAATCCATTAGACCTGGCTAAATTAGAAAAAAGTTATAGACGGGTTTGGCGAAGAGGCGCGGTCCCAGCGTCACCTGGTATTGCATAAGAACCCTGCTCGCCCGTCGCCCCGCCAGGCAGCCCAGACGCCCAGCGCCAGGGCTCTGATCCTTGAATAGCCTGAGAAGCCCCAGAGCTGGTGCAAGAACAGACTGGGAGAAGGAATATTTTTTGCTTAATTCTGGAAAGAGAGGTCCTGGGGACCTCTGGCAAAGGCTAGTTATAAAAAAGGAACAAATATTTACCTTCTAAATGGACTCCCTTTATTCTGTCTGACTGAGCACAAATGCAAAGCACGTGAAAAGCTGAATGAAGGACAGCCAGGTGACCACGTGGGCCCTCCTGGAGGGGCGGCCCGGAGACTGCAGCCAGCAGCCGAGTTAAGAAAGGAGTTAAGAAACACAGGAGGCCATTTTTCTCTTCCACAGGAAAAGGATTATTTTATTAAGTATTTTAAAACAACTACTTAACATTGACTCATAGATAAAAATATTTACAATTTCACACCTTTAGGAAGGCTCCAAAATATAAACACTGTACCTCTCCCTAGAGAAAAAAATTCTTCTCTTCAAAAGCAGGAATACATTCTTTTTTTCTCACTTTGTAGATCAAATAATTATACAAATAAACATCTGAAACATTTTCCTTTTTAATATATTTATATAATATATATTTTATAACAGCTTTACAAATAAAGGCAACGACTTGATACCAAAATAAAAACAGGGAAAGAAAAAACGAACACACGATTCGCGGTCAGCATAGTGCATTTGAAGAGCTGGTGCAGGGCTGGCTGGGCTAGTCGGAAAACAAAGTCCTCTGGGCCGGACGTAAAACTTCCTTGAAGGGACAGCATCCTTTTCAGCAGTGGGGACGCTCCAGACACCCTGGGGTGAGGGGCTGGGGCCAGTAGAAAGGATCCCGCAGTGCCTGGGCCTTTGAGAAGCTACGCTGGGCCGAAAGTTTTAAGACAGAACTTCATCCCGGGTCTAGCTCTGCTCCTGAAGCTAGCAGGTGAGGGGGCTCAGCTGGCTCTGCACCCTGGGGTGCTGGGAAGTCCGCCTCTCTCGCTCGGCCTGGTTTGGCTCCCTGGACCGCATGGGAGCCCTAGGGAGGGGTGCCAGCCGCGTGGGCGCGGCTCCCTCCTTCCTGGCAGCTGGGCTCCAAGCAGAGGGCCCGTCAGTTCCCCAGTAAGCCAATCGCTTGACAGCCCGAGCAGAGGCTCCACTCTGCATGTTCAGCCGTGGCAGGGGTGGGGAGCAGACCTGCGGAAGCCTCCCCAAACCACGGCCTCGCTTGCCAGTCAGCTCCCTCACCACCTGGCAGGCAGAGCGCACGGGCTGGCTGCCCTCTCGGGCGATGAGTCACAGCAGCGACAATAAAAGGGAGAAGGGTGGGGTCACAGGGCTGGCTGGGAACTGTGCTGTGGAAAGCCCTCTTCAGAAAGTACCTTCTACTCAAAGCCAGCGGCCTGGCTCTCGGCGTGTAGACCGACTCACTCTGGGGCTCTTGACCACCCAGCTGATCTGTTCCGGGGTGGTCGTCCAGGTGGGGAGAAGGCCCGAGGACCACCTCCCCAATCCTTCATGTCCTTCCTACACTAAGGAGCTTTAATGTCTATACCCACACATGATGCACACACATGCGCACACACACGTGCACGCGCGCGCGCGCACACACACACACACACACACACGCTCTTCTCTCCAAGCCTCAGATTATCAAGGCATCCATGCTAGAACAATCTCACTGCACTCACAAACACTTTTTTTGGGGGGCTGGGGTGGGGGAGGAAGGAAAGCAAAGCAGCAGGATCCTCAAGAATTTAGTCTTTGGTTTCTAAGTTTAAAGGCGGGATCTGCTTCAGAGCTTGCAGCAGGGCTGAGGAGTCGATGGCGGCCGGGTGGGCGGGTGAGGGAGAAGGGAGTCTCTGGGGCATGAGCAAGGGGGTGGGGAGCTTGTCGGGGTTCATGAAGCTGGTGAGGGCTGCGGCAGAGGCGTTGAGACCGGGGTACAGCACCGGGACGGAGGTGGGGTACCAGCACTTCTCCAGCATGGGCAGATAGGCAGTTGCGGACGGTGGGATCAGATAGAAGGGCAGGCAGAAGGGAGGCTGGTGTGGGTGGGGGCCCAGGAACGGGGAGCCCATCAGGTCGCTGCTGGGGAAGTGGCCTTCGTCCTCGGAGAGCTGCATTCTGCTCTTTTTCATGGGGGGCTCCTCGGATTCCTGCTTGATAGCCCCGATCCTTTCTCCCATGGGGAGCCTGCAGCCATGATCGCTTTTGAAGTAGGGCTGCTCGCCCCTCAAGTCTCCCTTCTCCGACTCTCCTCCATAGCCGCTGTCAGTGTCGGTGTCGCTGCCGCTCTGCTCCCCGCTGGAGTGAGCGAAAGTCCGCTGGATGACCGGCACGCAGTTTTTCCCCGGGCCCTCGGAGCCCTTGGCCAGTGAGCCGGGCTTCTCCTTGAAGTCCATGGCTTTGGGAGCTGGGTCTGATGGCTTCCTGGAGGTGCCCCCCTGCAGCAGCTCCGAGACCACGCGGTGGAGGTGGGTGACCAGCTGGGAGGACTTCACGTCCCGCGTGTTCTCGTGCTTGGCCAGGTACTGAAGCACCTCCCGGGCACACGTCTGGAAACCTGAGCAGAACATCTCTTGACCTGCCTCGACATTTCTCCCAGACAGCTCACCTGAGAAACAGGTCCAAAAGACATTTCAGAAGGGCTTCGGGCTCACCGGAAACCGCCACCCAAACACCCAGAACTTTCCTTTTGGCTAACAGCATTTGGGGATTTGTATTCCTACCTCCGGAAAAAAATAGTATCAGGGAAGCTCTACATGACACAGATGAGTGTAAAAAACAAAAAAAAACCCACAGTCCTACCACTCAGAGATAAAAGATGATTGTAATGGCCGCATCAGCCCAGAAACAGGCCACAACTCTGAGAGATGGACTGTTTCTCCTCCAGGTGCATTTGTTGAGCCCCCCAGTTTTTATTGTAAGTGACACAACAATGAACACCCATCCCTGTCAGTTGGTAGGTAGTTATTTTAATGAACCTCAATTTACTATGACAAGATAGAGACCATGCAATCGTGTGGCCGTAAGAATAAACAATCAAGCAGCGATATCCCCTAAACCCAGCTTTTTTTTCCCGGTGACTTCTGCAAGTATCGGCCATGCCAGGCTCTTTCAGTGCGCTACCTCTAGCGCCTCTTCCACGCATTCTAGCCTGAGTCCCCCAAGCTGGCAGGATCACCTTCCCATTTCCAAAGAGGAAACCGGCAGAAGCACTCGATAGGATTTGGTGGCTCTCATCCTCCTAGTCTCAGAAAGGAGGGCAGAGTGGAAAGGAATGAGGGAGTGGGCAGAAGAATTTCTCCCCAGTCTGTAGAGAATGATTTGGAAGGGTGACACCAGAAGGTCAGACGTGGCTGTGATTCTCTGGAAGCCAGAAATGAATGGCGAAACTTGGGTGGTTTCATTCCATTGTGCAATGCGCCAAGTATACCTAGTGGCTATTCAGGGAACCACATGAAATGCAGGAAAAACTTCTGCCTGTTTCCCTGCCAGGATCATACCACACACAGAGCGATAAGGAAGTAGAGAAACAGGAAAGCACTGGGCCAGACCCATGATTTATTCTCCAATGAAAGAGGCTACGAGACCCAACTGTAAAACACCCACGATGCAAATTATAGGTGCCTTGGCATTTTAAAGGAGGGGGGGGGATCTCCCAGAACCCAGACTCTCTTAACCCAAAATGCCACAGAAATACTTCATCATTGGACTGATCTGTATTCCTGCCAGGTGGCACACGGCAGCGTTCCAAATGAAAAGCCTGACCTTTCAGGACAGATAAAATGACATCTTCCCCAAGGAATGTGCGTAAGCCACTTGCTGGGGGACACGCCTGACACCAGACATGGAGACCCCGGGCCGCTGCCCACCCCCTCCCCCCGTGGTAGCCAGGCGCCGGCACTCACCGGCTTGTAAACCGCTCTGCAGAGCAAGGATCTTCTGCTGTTGCTGATCAATTAGGTTGGTTAGTGCTTTCACATGCTTCAACGTAAGTTCAAGAACCACTGCTTTCTCCAAGTGGCCCAGGGTCTGGAATAAAAAGAGCCTCGTCGTTAGCAGTGAGCGCAGAAGTCCCCCGTCCTCCGATCAGCGGGGGAGACATGTCTCCAAAGGAAATAAAAACCCAAAGTCTTTCTTGGTCGGTTCGATTTGGTTTGAAGATTGGAGGTGACGCTTTCAAAGAGTGCGCACACACACACATCCTCGTGAAAGAGTAAAAAACGAGTGTCGCCTCTCTTCGGAGGCATTTTGCAAGCAGCAGCTATCTCGGGAGACGGCTCTGACAGATCTATTTCTCCGCCAGCCCAGCTGACCTTAACTCAGGGGAATCCGCAGATAACATTTCTGCGCAGCGGTGTCAACCCCCCGGGGACTTCTCCTGTGTCTGGCAGTCAGGAGACTTCCCCAGCGTCTGGCCTGACACCCCTGCGTGACTTCCAGCTCATCCAGGCTTTTTTCTCCCTTCTCAAGTACTATTTTTTCCCTTTCCCCCAGCCAAGGTTGCCAAGCTAGCAAGCCAGGAGCCACTGTCAGGAAGGACAGGACAGGACCGTCACCATGACAGACAGTCAGTCTTCTGGGTAAAGAGTCTTGGGGGGGCGCGAGAAGGGGTTACATAAACCCCCCCTGTTGCTTGATTTGCTCAAGTTAGGGAAGCCAGAGCCCCCGCCAGCAGGGGAAGCCTCAGGCGCCCGGCAAGGCCAGGCGGCGCCGGGGCCCACTTGGAGTCCGGGGGGAGCTCACGCGTCTGCACGAAGCTGTCAGGAAACCCCAGGACTCGAGGGTCCTGCAGCGGGGAGCCCCCACCCCAGCTCGGGGCGGCCCCGGGCCTGTAGTTCCCCGCGGGGCCTGCAGGCGGCGAGTGACCCCCGCCCGCCCCGGGCAGCGCGGCGGCCTCGGAGAGGGGCCGGCGCCCCACTTACTGTAAGTTTGAGGTGCTCGGGCAGGAGGTCCTTGAGCTGGGCGATGCACTCGTTGATCCGGTCACGTCTCTTCTTCTCGATGAGCCGGTGCGGCAGTTTGTAGGTCTCCTGCGGGGCGCGCGGGGCGGCGGTGAGCGCCCGGGCGCCGGCTGCGCAGCCCCCCTGGAGCAGGTCCCGCCGCGGCGCGGAGCCCCCCGACCCGCCTCTCCTCCGCGCTCCTCCAGGCGGCTCCGCGCCCACCCTCGCGCACCCCTCGCGCACCCCGGCGCCCTCCACGCGGGAAACTTTTCTTGGAAACTCGGCGCGCGCTTGGGGAGGGGGTCCCCGCGGGCGCTCACCTTGCTGTCCTCGCTGCGCTTGATCCCCGCCTCGACTTGTACACTTGGTACATGTGGGCGAAATCCATCCTGCGGGGAGAGAGCAGGGCCGTGGCTGCGCGTGCACGGGCTGCAGCAGCCCGGCGGCGAGCGCCCCGGGGCGCCGGAGGGGCCCGGGCGGGGGTGCCGCTTACCCAGGCAGGTCTCCGGGCTCCAGCGCCGGCGCTTTGGGCAGGCAGGCGGGGGGCGGCTGCGCGCCGGGGACCCGCTCCATGGCGCGGCGAGCCGGGGCCGCGGGGCGCTGCCGGGGTGCGCGGACGCGGGCGGCGGTCGGGGCGAGGCCGTCCCGGGGGCGCTCGGGCTGCGCTCGGGGTCCGCGGGCTGCGGCTGCGGCGCGGGGCGCGGCTCAGTTGGGGGCGTGCATGGTGTCCCGGCTCGCGGCGCGGCGCGGACTGGCGGCGTGTGCGCTGCGCCTCCGCCGCGCGAGCCAAGTGAATGGGCGCGGGGGGCGGGGGCGGGCGGCGGGGGGCGGGGGCCGGCGGGGAGCCCGGGCGCGCGGGCCGGGTTAAATGGGAGCCGGGGGGCGGGTGCGCGCTCCGCCCTGTGACTCCCGGCACGTCTGGCCGCGGGGGGGGGGAGCGACCTGCGCCCGCCCCCGCGTCACATGAGCCTCACGTGTCGGCCGCGCCCCGCGCCCCCCCGGCCCAGGTGCTGCGGCCGCCTTCCCCGAAGAGGGGGCGGCGCGCGCCGGCCGCGCCGGCCGGGGGGGCGCGGAAGCCGGCGGGCCGGGCGGGGGGGCCGGCGTGGGCGAGCCCGCCCCGGGGAAGTGAAGTAAGTTCCCGTCTCCCGGGGCCGGGGGAGGACGGGCCGCCCGCGGCTGACTCAAGCCGGGAGAGGAATATCCCCTCGCGCCCCCCCGGCCCGCGGCCCCCGCGCCCCGGCTCCTTCCCGGCCCCCCCCGCGCCCCGGCCCTCCCCGGCCCCCCCGACCCCCCCCCGGCCCCCGGTCCCCCCGGCCCGCGTCCAGGAGCCGCCGGCCGGGGGCGGGGCGCGGGGCGGGGCGCAGGTCACCCCATGGGAAGCGGGAGGCGGCCCGGAGCCGGGGCAGCCGAGGCCGCCGCCGGGCACGCCGCGCGCACCTGACCGCCCGGGGCAGCGCCGCCCCCGCCCCCCGCCCCCCGCCCCCCGCCCCCCGCCCCCCGCCCCGGCGCGCCCCGGCGCGCCCCGGACGGCCGGTGCCGCCCGGACAGACCCGGCCCGCGCCCCGCGCCCCGCGCCGGCGCCCGCCGCCTCCCCGCGGCCGCGCCCCGACCCAGCCCGGACGCGGGGGGCCCGCCCCGGCCGGAACCGGGCGGCGCGGGGCGCGACCCGCACCCGGAGCGCGGGCGGGGGTTGTGGGGGGCGGGGAGGCCGCGCCCGGGGGGCATCGCCCGCTGCACGCGGGGCCGGCGGGGACGGGGCCCCGCAGCCTCGGGGGTGGGGAGAGCCCGGGCGGGGGGCGCAGGCAGCCCCGGGACGGTCGCGTCGCGCCCCCGGCCGGAGGAGGGAAGAGATTTTGCTGCTGTCGGTCAAGGCTCGGGGCGCGGGCCCCGGGGGGCTGGGGGCGCGGGGGAGGCGAGCCCCGCGCCCCGTCTCCGTGCCCCGCTCGCGGGGCGCAGCGGACAGTCGGGGCGCGGGGGGCGGCGCGGGGGGCGCCAGTGGAAATTCGTGACTCAAGCGCGGCCGCGCTGGGGATTTCGCTGACCTCCGCCCCCCCCCCTCCCCGCGAGTTCGGGGACTTGAGAGATGACGGTGAGCGCCCCGCCCCCCCCCCCCCCCCGCCGGCCAGCACCCCGCGGCCAGGACCCCTGCGCCGGGCGCGGACCGCGGGCCCCCAGGCGGGGCGCGAGGACGTGGCCCCGGGCGCGGCGGGGCGGGGTGGGGTCCCCGCCTCTGAGCCGAGTCCTTGGCCGGCTGAGCGCCGCGTCCACCCGCGGCCGGCGGGAGCGGCTTCCTGGGGGGGGTCGGGGGGGGGGCGGGAGCGCCCACTTCCTGTTGACGCTTGGGGCGCAACCCCCCCCCCCCCCCCCCCCGCGCGAGAATGCCGCCCCCGCGGGGGCCTCCGGGCCCGGGAGCCCCTCCAGGAGCCTGCTTTTGGGGCTTGTCTCTCGGGAGTCAGTGACAGTCCCCCGCCCGGGCTCCTGCTGGGGGGTGGGCGGCCGCACCCCAGAAAGGGCACCCACCGGCGTCCCCCCGGAGGAAGCCCGGCCGTTCCATCGCGCGCCCTCGGGTGTCACCGCAGCCTCAAACCCTCAGTTCCCCCAGGAAACAAGCGCGGGGTTGGGGGGTGTGAGGAGCACGGGTCCTTGCCGCCGTCACATGTATGTCACCCCCTTTGCAGGTCAGAAGTGGCCCCAAACATCTTGGTTTCCGTGGCTCTCGACAGTATCGTTCTGAGAATTCTTTGAAATTATCACAACTTTTCCTTACCTGCCTCACAAGTGCACGCACTTGCAAAGCGCAGGCGCTTCCTACTTTTCATTTGTTCCAAATGTGTTCTCGACCTTCCAGAATTATCCCCACCCTGCCAACGTGCAGTTGTTTCTGGGGTTTTTTTAAAAAATCTGTTTCTCTTCTCTCCATGGTTGGTGATTATTCTGTATTCATCTGAGCAAAGTAATTCCTTCCCAGCAGGCTGCTTTCCAATCCCGAAGACTCCTGATAGTTGTCATCCCTCGTGGATGCTTGTTCAGTGTTTGTTGCGTGCTACCTTTTGGACAATTTGTAAAAACTTTGTAGTCTTTCATTCATTTGCTACTTACCACCACCCTGTCAGGCAGGTACTACTAGCTCACTGTCACGTTCATTTAACACATAATGAGAACCCAAGTGTGCCCGGGACTCACCTAGAATCTGGGACCTTGTGGGGAAATTTAGGCCCAGGGAGGTTAAGCAACATGCCCCCTGGGGTTGTGTAGCCTGGGGTTAGGCCTGGAGCTAGACCCCACCTTTGATGGGTCCAAACCTTGTGCTCTTAATCAAAGTACTTATGGTTGCCTGGTGGGGTTGTGTGGGTTGTGCACTGCTCAACACCAGGGAGAGCCCTTCGTGTTGCAGTTTGTCTGAGAGCACCCTCTGGAGTTGGGCAAGGTAGCCCTGAGGAGCTGTACTGGATAATTCTGACATTTTGCAGCCCTGCTTTGGCTGTATAAATATGGAAAGAACATAAACTGGTACCAGGGAAAGTTTTTTTCTTTCCTAGCACGACTCAGCATTTTCGCGGCCTGATGCTGTGTGGGGGGAAGGTCTGGCTGTTACTGTTCACTCCCAGCCCTTCCTGTGCAGGAAGTCAGAGCCCACAGTCCCCTGCGCAGATCAACACCGTTCTTGTTCAGATATCACTTTTTGCCTGCTTGTGGAGCCTCGAACTTTTTAAATCATAGTCACAGTGAAAAATACGTTTTATATCATCACTCAGTACACACACACACGACACGGCCTGGAAGTACGTGTAAGTCTAGGTCAACGGAGGCTTCGTCCACAGCCGCCCTCTCTCCTGGACGCCTGAGTCTCCGTGGCGCTCTTAAAGGAAAAATTCAACCACTGAGGAAGAAGCCAGTCCAATGCATTCTGAGCAAAAATTTCACAAAGCAAAACTTCCCCTCAATATTTTCTAGTCTAGTCTAATCAATCTCACTTCTGAAAATGTTCTGGCTTTAAATCACTAAGCTGATTGCACAACCCACCGATAATTTCTGAACTGCAATTTGAAACATCCTTTACCCTAGAGACGGTGTTGTCATTTTGGCTAGTCCCCATCAGAAAGAAATCAATAGGCCTGCACAAGTGAAGAGCTTCCAGATCACTTAGGAAAGTGTTCAATAAAGCTTCTGGTCCTGGTGGAATTCAGTGGTGTATTGTCTCTCTTCAGGGCATCCTGGCCTTCACTTCGATGGTGGGAATGAAATACTCAGCTGCTCCCATACACCTGCTGGTGTCTATGAGTGGGATCGTTTCCTCCGTGCAGTGAGGACATTTTCTTCTGTTAGCTTGTTGGGGGAGTTTATCATGAAAGGATGTTGAATTTGGCAAATGCTTTTTCTTTTTCCAGTGAGTCAATCACTGTTAGGATTTTTCATCCTAACAGACTATCACGAATTACAATTTCGGAGTGTTAAACCAACCCTGAATTCCTGGCGTGAGCCTGCCTTGATGGTGATGATGTATCACTCTTAGTTTTGTTGCTAGATTTGATTTGCTGGTGTTTTTTAAGGGTTTTCATGTCTGTGATTGTGAAGGGCGTGCAGCCGTAGCTTTTCTGTTTTTATAATCTTTGTCAGGTTTTAGGACCAGGGTAAGGCTGACCTCAAAACAAATTGGGAAATATCCCTTCTCTTTTCTGAAAGACCTTGTGTGGGATTGGTTGATGCTGTTTCTTCCTTGAAGAATATGAGAAGCCATCTGGGGCCTGGAGTGTCCTCTGGGGCAAGTTTTTTTTTTTTTTTTTAACTACAAATACATTATTTTTAGTAAATATCAGGCTATTTAAATTTTTTGATGTCTTCTAAGTTAATTTTTGGTAATTTCTATTTTCCAAGAAATGTGTCTATCATATTTAAATTTGTCAATATACTGGTATGAGATTTTATACCTTTAGTGTCTCTATAGTGATAAACACTTTTTCACTCCTAAAATTCATTGTTATTTTGTGGATTTTTTTTCATGATAATCTTGCTAAGGAGCTTTTCAATTTTATTGATTTTTACAAAGGTCCAAATTTTATTGTGTTGATTTTCACTATTGTTTGCTCAACTTCTATTTTATCGGTTTTTTTTTTCTTTTTCTTTTAGCTGCCTTCTACTTTGATTTTAATTTGCTCTGCTTGTTCTAGTTTTCTGTGATACAAGATGTTATCAGTGATTTTAACAATGTTCTTATTATAAGCATATACAGTTAAATTTTTTCTTCAAAATACTACTTTCACAGCATCCCACAATATTTCATATTTTTTTCTTATGTCAAAATACCTTCTGATAGTCTTTGTAAGTTTTCTTTGATTTGTGGGTCATTTGGAAGGGTTGTGCATTTTCCAGATAATGTTTTTGCCCACAAATAAATCTTGCATTTTAACGGGAAAACAGTTCATCTTCATACATCCACACTTTTCCTTGAGCCATGCCCTTCTCTCTCCTCTTCAATAGCGAGAACAACCTCGAGGCTGACCTCTTGCCAGTTCTCCCCACATGCTCAAAGAGGAGGGTCTTCCGTGAGGGGCGACTGATCAATGAGATGAAAA